GGCTACACAAACATGTTTGGCTTAAACTTTGTGCTTTCCATAAAATAGGTCTACATCTGGAGCTCCACCACTTTTAGTCTGGATATTGGGCCCTAGTCAAGAGACTTCCAGGAGTCACTAGACCTTTGATGAAAGGGTACCTGTGCTCTAGAGTTGCAGTGTGGATGCACTGAGCATCCATTTGCAACTGAAGAAGACCCTGGCCATCAGGAGGAGAATTCAGTTTCAAGATTCCCTCCTGTCTCCCACTTATGGGCCCCTACACATGCTGCAGGGACACTACGAAGACATAGCCCTGTTACTGTTTTCATGATGTTTCAGGAAGTCCCATGATTGGACCTTCTAGTCACAAGAGAAAAGAGGAATGAGAGGTCAAATCTTTAAAGTTTAGACTTCATTTTAAAGAACCTGACCTAAGTTTGAATTCAGATAAAGTAACAGGCTGGTAGCTAACATTAGTTTCCAAATTCCTCCCCCCCCCCCAGCAAAACTTGGTCCTGGGTCCAGGTTCTAGGCTAATTCCCAACATGATATGACTCCAAGCACCAGCCAATTATGTTAAAGGCCACAGTAGCTTTCCAATTAGATGCTTGCACAATTACCACTTGCTTGCTGCTTATTAGAAAGCCTTGCATCAATAGATATTTGGGGTCCCCCTACCACCAAAACTGTCCTCAATGAGTGTAGCGTTGTGTGTGTGTGAGCTAGATTGATTAGAATAAAGATTCCTTCTGTAAGGTGCATCAGATTGGCTCCTGTCTGTGTTTTTGGGGGATCACTAATATTCCTTGGCACTACAAAAGTTTGTATGAGACCTAGCAGAGTAGCTCAGAAAAGAAAAAAAAAACCGGAAAGAACCCAGATTGAATCGGGTACCCTGGAGAGGTGTAATGGCCTGTTTTGCCCCATGTTTGAGGGCCACTATGTCCCAGTCCGAGTTGTTGTTTTGGTTTGTGGGTCAGGGCCTAGCAAGAGTGGGGATGGAGGGTCAAAAGACACGAAGAATGGAGACAAGACAGAGGGTCTGATCAAGTCTTTTTTTATGGAAAGGAAATCCTGGGTATTTATACAGTTTTTTTATGTGCTTTGCCACCGTGGGCAAGCAGGGGAACACAGCTGAAGGCACTATGTCACGTGTGCCTTGTAGCGTGGATACCACATGTGCTTTGCAGTGTGGATACCACGTGTGCCTTATAGCTGGGGGCACTAAAGAGCAAAACAAGATATGTGAGAAAAACAAGATGTTTATCAGAGTGTGCTTAGCTGTTGTGGGCTGTTGAAAACAAGTCTCTTGTCAGGGTATATGGCCTGAGATGGCTGTAAAGATGATCGCCACTTTCTGCTAGGAGTCGGCTCCAAACAGAGACGAGTTTTAAATCACCCAGCCAGAGCATAGAAAAATCTAGGAAGGCAAGAGCTTATACAGACATATGTCTCAGATGCAAAATACATTCTAGGCCTAGAAAAGATTTTATGGGGGCTAGAAGCTTCCAGGACTAGGCCTAAGTTAGCATATAGAGGCAGAAAGCTATAAAGATGACAATAAATACAGATGCATAATAGTTACTTTTATAATAAACTCGTTAGAAGGTCAACTTCTAAATCACATCTGGAGGTAAGTCTGGGAAGGCATCTTCAGTTTAGATCCCAGGGTCCAGAACTGTGAAAAATGTGATTCCAATCTTTCAAGGACTCTGATCTGAGACTGGAGTTCCACCCACCAAGGTCTTAAAAGAACTTGATGAAGAGTCACTGATGCTAATAGTAGCAATACATCTATGGGAGGAATCAAAAATCAAAACCAATTGATTGATTTACCCTGAGGGATGAGACAGACATACAGGAGAGCTGGGAGTGGCTGAGCTGATTGAATCATTTTACTAATTTCTGTGTTCTCTAGATTGTAGGGCTAAGAAATGAATAACTGGAGAGATGAGAGATGTAGGCAGAATTTTACACACCATTTTACCTAAGGACAGTAATAACAAACCCTAACCTTTGATATCTGTTGAATATATGCTGCGGCCCTTGAAAAATCAGCAAAATCACTCCCTTTTTAGGACCAATAGAGTAAGCATGGCAGTTTGAGGTCTGAAGAGGACAGACTCATTAGTGGAGGATGCAGACTATGAGCTATTGAGAAGCTGAATCCTGTCAATTAAAGTGACCAAATTAAGAATCATTTAGGGTATTTCTAAGCCACACTCTTAAGTGACAAATGATTTCCAATGAAGAGTTCCTGAGGGAAAAGTACAAAACCACCAAGCAAATTGGGAGGAGTCAGCACAAGGTTGGTGGGTGTGATTGGAATCACACACAGGATAGAAGAAAGCCACCTTCAGAGGTTTGGGGATCTGTTTCCTGCCCACCATATAGGAGCACTTCCACATGTCCTCCATTTGGTGAACACTAAGACTGCTGACAAGTTCAGGACAACACTCCTTCCCTGTTTGTGTTTATGGCAGGAATCAGTGTAAGACCAGCATAAAGGTAAATAATAGCTGTGCAATAATTGACATGATCCATTTATGGGAGATTGAAAGTCCACTGGTGATGGCGATTCTTCCTGTCTGGACTACTGTGGACTTAAGTAACATACAAAACTGGAGGCACTCTTTAAAAAAAAAATTGCTTAAGATGAATAGATAGAGCCAGTTCAAACACAGACTCTTGGAGTAGAAAAACACACACCTTTAATCTGAGTCTGAGGCAGGAAAACACACACCTTTAATCCAAAATTTGAGGCTAGGAGACACAGTTTAACTGGGCCACACCTTCTGCTGGGGGCCTATATAAGCACTCAGGATGCTGTGTGTCTTTGGATGCTAGCTCTCAACTTCATTTGAACCTACTTCTTCAGAATTCCAGCATATACTGAAGAACACCTGAGAGTTCGAACCTTGAGAACTAGGTAAGTACTGACTTTAGCAATTATTATATTAGCTGGACCATCACCTGTATGTTATTCTTATATATCTTTTTTCAATTTATATAGAAGAATTCATTCTGCACATTCTGTACAGGATGCTGAATAATACAACACACTTTTATTTTTCTTTTATTGTATGTTTTCTTTACTTACATTTCAAATATTATCCCCTTTTTATGTCTTCCCTCTGCAAACCCCCATTGCATCCCCCTCCCTTGATCTCTTTGAGGGTGGTCCCTCACTCAAACACCCGCCTTCCCGCCCTGGCATTCCCCCACACTGTGGTATTGAACTCCCACAGAAACAAGAGCTGTTCTTCCCAGTGATGTCCAAAAAGGCCACATATCCAGCTGGAGCCATGGGTCCCTTCATCTGTACTCTTTGGTTGGTAGTCCAGTCCGGGGAGCTCCTATGGGTCTGGCCAGTTGACACTGTTGCTCCCACCATGGGGCTGCAACCCTACTCAGCTTCTTCAGTCCCTTCTCCAACTGCTCCATCAGGGGCCAAATGGTTTATCCTTTGAATATAGGAAGACTACTGATTTGCTTGAGTTAATTTTATATGCAGGCACTTTACTGAAGTTGTTTATCAGTTGTTCTCTGGTGGATTTTTTTGGGGTCACTTAAGTATACAATGATATCACCTGCAAATAGTGATATTTTCACTTCTTCCTTTCTAAATTGTATCCCGTTGACCACCTTTTGTTATCTAAATGCTCTAGCCAGAACTTTAAGTACTATATTGAATAGGGAGGGGGGGAGGGAGAGAGAGAGAGAGAGAGAGAGAGAGAGAGAGAGAGAGAGAGAGAGAGAGAGAGCACCCTTTTCTAATCCCTGATTTTAGTGGGATTGCTTCAAGTTTCTCTCCATTTAGTTTGATATTGGCTAGTAGGTTGGTGTATATTGCTTTTACTATGTTTAGGGATGGGCCTTGAATTCCTGATCTTTCCAAGACTTAACATGGAGGGATGTTGAATTTTGTCAAATGCTTTCTTAGCATCTAGTGAAATGATCATGTGGTTTTTTCTTTGAGTTTGTTTATGTAGTGGTTTGTGTTGATGGATTTCCATAAATTGAACCATCCTTGCATCCCTGGGATGAAGCCTCTTATCTCTCTCCACCTCTGTTTCTGTTTCTCAATCATCATGGATGATGGTTTTGATCTGTTCTTTGATTTGGTTTGTGAGAATTTTATTGAGCATTTTTGCATCGATATTCATAAGTGAAATTGATCTGAAGTTCCTTTTCTTTGTTGGATCTGTGTGCATCTTTGGTTTCAGTGGTCCTCTGGTTTCATAGAGAATTGTATTGTATTCTTTCTGCTTCTATTTTGTGGAATAGTTTGAATAGTGTTGATATTAGGTCTCATTTGATGATCAGATAGAATTCTGTTCTAAACCCATCTGGTCCTGGGCATTTTTTGGTTGGAGACTTTCAATGACTACTTCCATTTCTTTATGGGTTTTGGGACTGTTTATATCATTTGCAGGAGGTACAAGCCACAGTCAGTGACAGCAAGACAAGCTAACGCCAGAGACAACCAAATGGCGAGAAAAGTACAGCATACTTTAAATGAGAATGCTTAAAATTTTCCAAACTCTACCAAAGTTGAATAGAGCCCAAACTAGTTACCATAGACCTAAGATTCAATAAACACACAAACCCAAAGAAAGGCAGAGACAGGGAGAGACACAGAGAGAGAGAGAGAGAGAGAGAGAGAGAGAGAGAGAGAGAGAGAGAGAGAGGGGAGAGGTAGAGAGAGAGAGAGGGAAGAGAGAGAGAGAGAGAGAGAGGAGAGGAGAGAGGGAGGGGGGAGGGGCAGGGGGAGGGGAGAGTGAGAAAGATTTAATGTCACTACAGATCTGTATTGTCTTCTGTAAAACAAATATTGAAACTTAGAGAGAAAATTGCATAGAAACACAAGTTTCCAACATCATACAAGGGGCAATTTAAGAGAAATTTAAACTAAATTCTAAAGTATGTCTATAATTTTATCCTACTCGATGAAGAGTAAATAACTTCTAGTTCTTATTTTCAGATCACCTTCAACTTCCAAACTATCTCTAGCAGAAATGTCAGGGGACCTGGAAGCCAAGAGCTTGGGCTCCACGCAGATCAGTGATCACAAATTCTACTACAAGTGGACTATTAGCAAGTTTTCACTTTACATGGTGAGATTTATGGACAAGATTACAAGTCCATTGTTCTCATTCAAGGCCAATGAGGAAGTGGCATGGTGTTTGAGAGTACACCCAAATGGGGTTGATGGAGAAAGCAAAGACTACCTGTCAGTTTACCTGCTGTTACTCAGCTGTCCCAAGAGCCCAGTTTGGGCCAAGTTCCATTTCTGGATCACAAATAACCAAAGAGAAAAATATATAACTATGAAGAGCTCTAATATTGTAAGCTTTCTGCATAACCAACACAGGGGATTCAAAAAGTTCATGCTCCGAGAATTTCTCCTCTCCCATCGTCGTTGGTTTCTCCCTGAAGACCAGCTCACCCTCTACTGCAAGGTGAGCATAGTAGGAGACTGCTTTAGCAATCCTGGTCAGAACATGACACCTGCAATCATATATCCAAGGCATGTGTTCACAGATGACGTAGAAGAGCAGTGGGAGAATTCCCTCTCCACAGACTGCTGCCTGTTTGTAGGTGGCCAAGAATTCAGGGCTCACAAGGCCATCCTAGCAGCTCACTCTCCAGTTTTTAGAGCCATGTTTGAACATGAAATGAAGGAGAAGCTAACAAACCGCGTTGAGATCCAAGACCTGGATCCCGAAGTCTTCAAGGAGATGATGGGCTTCATTTACACTGGGAAGGTGCCACACTTCCACAGCTACTCCATGACCACTGGTGTGCTGGCAGCTGCTGACAGGTATGGCCTGGAGGACTTGATGGCCATGTGTGAGGATGCCCTCTGCAGGAACCTCTCTGTATTGAATGTTACATACACTCTCTTCCTGGCTGACCTCCACAGCAGAAAACACCTGAAGACTCAGGCCCTGGATTTCATTAAACTTTATCCTTTTGAGGTTTCTGAGACCTCAAGGTGGAAGTCAATGGAGGAGTCACATCCCCACTTGGTGGCTGAAGTATTCCATTCCCTGACTTCTGCACAGTGTCCTTACTTGGAGCCACCACTCAAACGCCTAAAACAATCTTAGAAGCTGGTCAGGTCTGACCTACACCTATCTTCCAACATCAACCATCAGTGTTATTATCAATAACTTCTTGTTAGACTACTTTATTGTTGGAGCATTTGCAGTGAATTTGGGAAAGGGAGTATGATGGCTGAGGATTTAGAACAGCTGTAATATGTTAAATGATGGGTGGGGGAAGGGCAGTAGTGGAGTCTCGGACATTCTACCTGACATCTACCCTGTTGATGTTCTAGTTTGGCTTTTGTCTGATGACTTGGAAACTGGGATTCAATGTAGGTGCTGGCCCTAAGCACAACCGAATCAATTTTCTTCAGAGAAACAAGTCTGCATTGGACTGAGCAGAACAAATGACTGGGGCCAAAGGAAAGGAGAAATCATGAATGTTAACTCATCGGAGAAAAAAGAGGTAATGAAGAATTTTTTTTTTTTTTAAGACTCAGTTTGTGGGAACTAAGCTGCAGAAGCAGTTACTTCTCTCTCAGAGAACTTTGGTTAAGTTCCAAGCACATACAGCAGAGTTTCATCAACCTGTACCTGGTGATTCAGACTATCTGAGGCCCTCCTCTGGTGTCTATTGTTACAAACAGATGTGTAGACAAAACCTTAACCAAATAATAAAATATAATATGAATAAAACTTTTGAAATCAGTCTGCTGATTCCAGAGATATTTATGTTCAGAGTAGACACCTGTAGCCCAATCATCCAAGCTAAGCTGTGTATGTTTGTGCAGACCCCTCACTGTCCTACCAGTAGTAGAAACACCTGGTCTGTCTTCTTGGAATTCATTTTTGGCAAATGAGAACTCCATCATCATGCACTTATGACAACCGAGGAGAGTAGGTGATAGTGGGGAGTCTACTACTCCTGAGAGAGAAGTCTTTGTGTTTCAAGGCATGCAGAAATATTTTATATCCTTTGAAAATCTTAGAAGGGATTGATTCATTACAGGTTCATACTCTCTAGGCCAGTGAGTCTCAATCTGCCTAATGTTGTGCCCCCTTAATACAGTTCTTCATCTTGTGATCAACCAGAACCATTAAAGTACTTTGTGGTTACTTCATAACTGTAATGTTGCTACTGTTATGAATTATACTGTGAATAGCTGATATAAAGGATATGCGATATTCAACTCCTATGAATGGGTCATGAGACTGTCAAAGGGATGGGGACCATAGGTTGAGAACCATGGCTCCAGGCCATGCCTACCAGCACACTCGGTAGACTCCTTACAGTTCTTGTCTTACTTCAGTTCTCCCAGACCCAATCCCACAATCTCAACCTCACCTCTGTAGCACACCAGCTGTGGAAGTTACACTGCCCATTCATTCCATATCCTGTGCATACCACAGATCTTCCCCTTCTAACCTCCCTCCCCCCAACTCTTTGCTCTGTTCGAGCCCCCAAGCCAGGCTTGCCTCCCCCACCATCACAAGTGCTGCTCTTTCCATGATATTAGAAGTCTAAAGGTAGATCCACACCTCCCTCCTTGATCCTCCACTTAATATTTCTCCATTCTCATTCCCAGCTCTATAGCAGGAACTTTTCTCTGCTTTTTTTTTCCTGTAAAGCACCAACCCCAGTGGATCACAAAGAACTTCTTCCCCAATCTTCCTTCTCCCAACTCACTCCATCATCACAGCCTGCATTCACTAAGAACACAGCAAAAGAACAGGGCAGGAAAGCAGCTAAGGGAACTGAAGAATTCATCACTCCCTCCCCCATGCCAAATTCAACAACCTAGTCTCATTCTATAGAGCTACATCATAACACCAGCTGTATCCTTCATTTTTGCCTGCCTACATCTCCTGTGAGTCTCACAGACAATTCCTTTTTAAACTCCCTCCCCCTAACTCCTTGCTGTATTCTAGCCCCTAACTCCAGCATGTACTCACTGAAAACTCACTGACCAATCCTGACAGGGAAGTGTGGAAGCTGCCATCTTGCCCTCTCCTTCAGTTCTTGTAGAACCACACCTACCAGTCTAATCCCCAACTCTACAATTGGTCACCCCAATCCTTCTGGGGTGACCATTTTTCACTGTCTCCCCTAAATCCAAGGAGACAAAAGAAGCAGATTCTGCTGTAATCTCCTCCCTTCTGTGAACACCTTCAGACTTGTAACATATCCCCACTCCTAACTGTCAGCTTCCTGTACACAGAAACCCTGAACCGCAAGTGGACAAAACTATTAGCTCTAAAGAAAAGTTTCTGCCTAACAGCAGTGATGGCTGTTCTCAATTGTCACCTTGACTATATGTGGAATGAACTACAATCCAGAATTTATAAAGGTCTTGTAAAAATGCAAAGAAAAGATTAGGTCCTGTCCTAGCAGTGCAGGCCTTTAATCCTAGCACTCAGGAAACAGAGCTGTGCAGATCTCTGTGTTCAAGGTCAGTTTACAGAACTAGTTCTAAGCCAGCAAAGTCTAGGCAGTGAAAGATGTAATGGAACCACGGGGGCATGTTCCAGTCCCAGCAAGCAGCAGCAGTGGGCAGCTTGGGGCAAGTGGCTCTAGGTTAGAGTTGCCATTTGATCAATCTTTAGATCCAGCACCAAGCCTGCCTGCATGATGACATGCTTCCCACCCTGATGAAAATAGACTGCACCTCCAAAATGGTAAGCCAGCTTCAGCTAAATGTTTATAAGAATTCCTTTGGTCATGATGTCTCTTCACAGCAATAGAATCCTACCTAAGACAATATACAGCAATGACACTCTTCAGAAATCCAGAGAGGAAACAAGACAAGGAATAGAACTGCTACCCAACACACACAAATGTAGAAATTAGGATCTAAAGCTTTAACCACTGCAATGCCAGAATCTTAGATGCTAGCATAAACAACACAATCACTAACAGTCAGGGCATTATGTCTACACTAGAGACCAGCTAGCCTAACACAGCCATGCCTGAATATTCCAACATGGCCGAAGCACAAGCAAAGACCTTAAAACAATCTGTGCCAAGGTGATAGAGATCATTAAGGAGAGAACGAAGAAATCCCTTAAACAAATCTAGGAAAGCACATATAAACAGCGTGAGGAAAGAAAGAGATCCATTAAAGAAACCCAGGAAAACAAAACAAACAGTGGAAGGAAATGAATAAAAAATGTTTAGGGCCTGAAAATGGAAATAGAATCCATAAAGAAAACAAATACTGAGGGAATTCTGGAAATGAGGAATTTAAAATATCTGTAGAAGGAATTACTGAATTAAGAGTTGGTTCTTTGAGAAAATCCACAAGATCAGTAACTCCTATTCCAAACTAACAAAAGTGAAGAGAGAGAATATACAAATCCACCAAAACAGAAATTAAAGATGAGGTGTAATAACAGACACAGAAAATCCAGAGACTCCTAAGGTCCCACTTTTAGAAACTGTGTGCTTCACCACATTGGAAAATCTTAAAGAACTTGACAGTTTTCTGTATAGGTAACACTTCTCAAGGCCAAATTATGATCAGATAGTCAATTAAGCAAATATAACTCCTACTAAAATAGAAGTAGTCAATAAAAATCACCCTGCTTGCCTTCATTTCCAAACTGTATTCCCCAAACCCTGTTTCCTCCTTGTTGGTGTGTACAAGCCTCCTTCCTACTCAGGGGGAGATTCCCTCCTGGACCAGAGGTCTAGTCCTGGACCAGACCATGAGAAAGCAGGCAGGCTACCTTTTCAAGGACATATTTCGATCTCTCAGTGACCTTCCACTCCAGGATGATCCCTAATCCCTCTTTCCCTCCTCTTCCCTATATCCCACGTCCCAACATGGACCTAGACCCCCTGACTGGCCCTCTTCATCTGACCCTGTCTGCTCTCACTTTTAAATTGCAATGTTACAGTGTCCTTAGGCACAACTGGTCTATTGCTCACCTTTTTGCCCTCTTCTCCTGTCTTTCTTTCAGAGTTGCCTGTCACCATACACCTCCCCTCAAGGCTTATGTGACTCCCTGTTTTTTTCCCCTGACCCTTTCTTATGGGTGAGAGCACTCTCCTAAAGATTGTTTCTTCATCCTTGCCTTCTGGCCTCCACAAAAGCCCTGGTGCCAGATGCCTAGTCTCTCCTTGAGATTAGCCAGGGTGTCCCTGACTGTCCTGGCCCAAGCTGCTGCTCTGATCCTCAGGTCAGGGTCTAGCAAGAGAGAGAGTGGGGATGGAGGGGCAAGAGATGCGAAGAATGGAGACAAGGCATAGGGTCTAATCAAGTCTCTTTTTGAAAGGAAATCTTGGGTATTTATAGGCTTTACCATGTACCTTGGCCTCATGGACAAGCAGGGGAACACAGATGAAATCACTATGTCATGTGCCTTGCAGCATGGATACCACATGCACCTTGCAGCTGGGGGCACTAAGCAGCAATACAAGATATGTGAGAAAAACAAGATGTTTATCAGAGTGTGCTCAGCTGTTGTGGGCTGTTGAAAACAAATCTCTTGTCAGGGTATATGGTTCTAGATGGCTGCAAAGATGATAGTCACTTTTGGCTAGGACTTGGCTCCCAACATGTCCCGCTTTTAAAAATTTTTTTTTTTTTTTTTTCAAAATGGAAGGCTGGGAAAATGTACAGAAACCGTGCCTGCCTTAGGTTGGAACAAAGGACCCCAGCCTCCCTTTCTGGTCTTGGGATACTCAACAGCCATTGGTTGAGCTCCTGTCTTAAGGTGAGGCCTCCCAGTTAGGGGCAAGGGTCTTGAGGTGTTCTTTTACCTGTCATTGACTATCTGGCTCAGCTTGTAAGTTAGGGGTTAATCTTCGTCAGTCTTGATAACAGAGGTTTTAGAGTCTCCTACTTCCAGCCTGTAATAATGGACCTGTATGGGTTTATTTGAATAGCGTCTATCTGTTGTTGTACAAAAGCCATCAGTTTGTTTAACAACATGGACATGAGAGACAAGAGACTTAACAATGCCTGAATGGTTGGTATAAAAGCAACACTTTAAGGGCAGCACATATTTCCCCCTGTTGAAATTAGAGGTCTAAGCTTTGTACCCACAAATTTTGAGTTGAA